GTAGGTATTAGAAATTAATGTGATTTGATGCGGAATTTTCAATAGTTAAAACTTTTTTGACATTAAATTCATTGTAAATTTAGAACTCTCGGCATATTTTGCTCCGACGCCGTTTTTAAAAGTATTAAAACAATTATTTTCAATATTACTTATAAATTATAATATATTATTATCGTTGAACGAAATAGGTTTATTTTAGTTTTCTGTACCTACACTCTATATAATAATCAATAATTAGTAATTACTTATTGTAGGAACCTACGCAATTAATTAATTATTTTTATTTACAGAACTGCTCAATGACTGTATTGACACGCCTATATTTATACATGTATCGGCGTATCGCTATTGTTTGAGATTTCTAGGGAGATGAATAATGTATTCAAGATTACCTATTATATATTTTAATTTTTAATAATTTGTCAATTCGTCAAGTAAATAGGTTAGTCAACATTTAAACTTATTGAAAAACCAATAATAATGTGGTACCATGTATCTATATTATTATCACAAACGTTCAGAAGATAATTAAAATAATATAAATATTATACATAATATATATACAATATACATTATACCTACATAATATGTACCACGCATAATATAATATTTGCAGACGAACCACGGTCACTGACCGACGTAAATACACTCCTAACCTAACCTGTACTGACTCGGGCATTTGGGTTAGAGTTTCGATAACAGTTGGGGCCGTGTCGCCGCAGTGACAACCGGTTCCTTGCATAATATTATTCACGTCTTTCCTTAATGAGTAAATCGTTTAGGTTTCTGAGCGCGTTATTCCCACTCGTTGCCATATATACTCTTTGTAGAATAGGGTACGCGAACATAATAGTATAATATGAGTATCGATATTTATTGGTGTAAAACCTACAGAAAAATAAAATTATATTCCTCTGACGGGCCTATATTTTTTCCCATAAAACACTCGGTAAGACGCCGAGAGCGTGATTAAAGATTGGCTGTGACAGTGACAGCGGCCGTACACATTCTAACTTATTACTCGAAATATTTACGTTTCATCTATCATTGTGAATTCTGCATTTCTACGTCTGAAACCGTTGCTAATGTGATGCTAGTGTGATGCACATGGAATAATTTCTAAATTGTTTTGAAATCAGCAGATGGGTGAAATTGTTTTAACGGTGATTAGGTAACGTAAATCTGCTGCATACAACTTGAATGTTTTTCTGCAATAATCGCAAACCTACATCAAAAAATAGACCAAGTATCCTCAGAGATCGTGTCCTATGTGACATTATTATGATCAGAATGGTGTTCAGAGTATGTAAGAAATGAAACGTTTGTTAGTGCGTAACACATCCCTATTTGCGAGGCTGTGGTTGATACCGCCTGTTAGAAAACGACGGTGGCTATCGGACTGATGACAATAATTATTATCGTACAGATGTGCCTGTTGGCAACCCTTATTGTAATTAGGATAATATTGTCCGTAGACGTGTTTCGGTGTGAAATCCAATGTGACGGTGGCGTATATATTGTGTATGTACTACCTATATTATATTATGTTTGAGGCGCTGTGCATTTGTCTTCTTTATAATATATAAAAATGGAGGTCATGGCTATACGGTTCTTGCCACGAGAAGAAGGCATAGTTACAGTAATATGAATACATACAAAAATAATAAAAATTAATTTTCGGACCGGCCGGCAGACGGTGAGCACTGGATCTTATAGCACATCAATACATTATTTGGTATCGGTGTAAGACTGCGGCTCGAGTTAAATCATTTTAACATTTAAACTGTTGGCGGCCAAAACTACTTTTCTGTACGTGTGTGTGTGTGTGTGTGTGTGTGTGTGTGTGTGTGTGTGTGTGTGTGTTTATGTGAATGTTTACGCTTCTTTTTAGCGATATTGCACGCGCATTTCCGGTACCAGTTAAAGTTAACCGGGTCGTCGCCAGTGAGTCTGACATATTTATTTGTATGTTTTATGATTATTATTATTGTATGAACCAAAAATTGTAAAGTAAAAGGACCTAATACTCGTATACCACGGGTTGAAGTAAGACGCGTTCCGCGTGTCACGGTGTGTACGTCAATTAAAAATTAACGCTTTCAAAACATTTCTGAACAACCGGTAGAGTCGTATTCAACTTAAGGTACCTAATATATAATATTATATACTACACCGGTGCGTGTGTAATAACCGTGAATCCACTACTGCTGCTGCTTAGAGGTACTGAATAGGTACAGATTTCGTACGAAATGCAAAACGTTTACAAACTGTACAGATTATGTCATGTGATGATTCGTATATTTCTTCAACATTTCACAAAAATCCTGTTGACTACGAGATAATACTACAAACTATGTTAAACGTGTTTGCTTTTAATAAAGTTAAATGTCTACCTGTAATAGTATTCTATGTAGTATAAACATATACTTGAATATTGCAATATAGGCATTTTAAATGTTTTGCTTAGTCGAATACCTAAAATGTTTGTATTGGAAACATAGGTATTGCTTAATATGGATAAACCATTAAAATACACAAAATAATTGATAAACACGCTTAGGGGTCGTAAAGGTAAAGCAATTTAATATTTACACATCTTCCTAAACGATTACTTAATTATTTACACAATATTACGGCCAGTTATCTTTGAAGTGTACCTTAGTGTAATTTGTTGATTTATAACGTAACGCTTAAAAATTTTTCTTTGCGTCTGATGTGCATATGGGTTGAATTAACACGATTGAATAGATATGCTAATTAATTTCAAACAACCCATCATATCGATATTGCACTAGTACACTACGATAGGTGTTATTATTTATTCTTATTGTCTTCGAAGCTTGTTTGTTTGTTGTAAGATTTCATTCGACGATCGTGGTATCATCCATCGATCATTGGGTTAGGCAACACACAGTTTTGGTTAGGGTTCATGGTTATTGATACAAATTTGAAAACTACCGTTCATTTTTTTACTCATTTTAATCAGACAAGGCCAACATATTATTACGTATGGATATAAAACGATTTCCAATGTTATCAATAACAAACCCGTACTATGTTACGTTTTGGGTGACCAGCGACGGACCCTTTAAGAGGCCTGTGAATAAAATATGATATGCACACAAGGTGACCGGAATATTTGTATTGTATGTGTGGTGCTCCCTATGACTTGTGTACTGTTAGTTGTTACACTACAGCCTATAAGCTGCGTGTACCTATAAACACGTGTATTTTTTTTTTGTCGTTATAAACATAGACCTTGACACCATTATCATGTGTTTCGTTTCTTTGACTAAACCATAGAACTGCCTGTTGTAAACGTCCCAAGTAATAATTCCTGATGCACCGCTGCTCTCTATTCCGATGAGTACGATAAAACAAAATGTAGGTATTATATCGTTTTGAAAAAAATAAAAAATATCGAGATTTTACGGTTAAATCTTCCACATATATTACCAGCTAGGTACCTACCTATAACAAAATATAAATTTTGAAAAAAAATGGTTTTTCTTTTTAAATTATTCCATTTTGTGTCACGTCCTGATGCTCTTGCAAACAGACACACTTGATGGTTTTCAATATACATAATATAATATGAAAATTGCCTTATTTATACACGGTTGGTTTTGTACGAATTAAAAAAATATGAATTTAAAGTAACGATGTTCTATAATGGTATAATGGAACTGCACGGTCTGTAAATAAAATTGAAGATGCTCATATGAGTGTAACGGACTATTTTTCGCTATTATGTATATCGTCTTACTGTCAGTTTTACTCTAACCTTATTAGTTATCACTTTCATACATAATGTTTTTGTTCTTCATACTTGAAACTATTCGCGTATACTTAAACTAACAGGCAGTAAATACATAATATTACAAAATGATATGCGTATTTGCTATTAGTTTGTATTACAGTTGTAAGTAACAGCGTGTAAAACTATATATAATCCAAGTACAGATATGTGCATACTATACACACAAATGTTTAACATTAAATTCTTTCTCTCTATGTAATGCTAAATATTAATTACCTGTAGATACTCAATTTGTATAGTGCATTTAGTTGATAATTAAACAACCTCCATAGGTACTGCCTGATGTAGGTATATATTGTAATTTATTTTTGAATCGCAAGTCGTTATAATTAATTATAGACATTTTTTCGTTTTTAAAAATGTCGTTATTCCTGTATGTATATGTAATTTATTATATTAAACAAAAATCTCAAATTGCTTAAAGCAAAGTTTGCAAAAAAAACTTTATTTTACAATTAATGTATAAAAGGTAATATTTGAACTTTCAAACCACCAAGGTGTATAATAATTATGTTAGTTTTCCGAAACATAATTGTGTTTGACATCAAATATTGACAACATTAAAATTAATGTAATATATTTTTAATTTAACTGTTTATTTTACATATAGTTGTCACTTTGTCAGTGCAGCTGTAAATTGTCGTAAATTTCATCCTTCAATAATTTGAACAAAAATTGTTTCACCTAAATAATTTTACTTACCTATGTTAAATAGAAATTCGTGCAAATTAGACAAAAATAAACGGCAATGATAATTATTTTATCAATAATTAAATTAAATTAGATACCCTTTGAGTTAATTTAATAACTCATTAGAATTAGAGTACAAGAAACATAACGTAATCATGGAAGTTTATCAATATTTAGTGGTTTTTGTGCCTGTAAATATATTGATGTAAGATATGCTGTTATACTATTTTATTGTATGCAAGTCACCACCTGTTAAACAATTTGTTCATAAATAACGTGTATACATTGTTTTTTCTAAAAAAGCAAAACATTTCAGATTATAATATATCTCATAAAATTGTTTTTATTTTTAAACTTATTTTGCTTGATTGGTGTATTGGTATTAGTTGTTAATGACTGAATTGCAGTTTGACTTCTTAACGACCTTAATAATAACGTTGTAGCTATATAACGAAACTAATCACGACATGTATTTGGCTTTGTTATACAGGTCTATAGATCTAATGCTTGAGCCATAATGAAGCACGAAAGTCAGCACCCTGAGCTCATTTCAAACGGAAAAGGAAAGCCTTTCAAAAAAAGCATCAGTTTAGGTTCCTTGGGTCTAGGAAAGCTGTGGCGAAGGCGATCTGTGACCATAACCGAGTACGATCCATGTTACAAGGTCGTCTATCTGGGCAACGTCCTCACTGGCATAGCCAAAGGTATGTACCATATTATAACTATTATTATTTTCAAACGATTTAGGCTATAGAATTCTTCCTTAACTAGATACCTACGTCATTTGGCTTTGCCGTATAAATTATGACTCCCACGTCCTGTGTTTGTAAAGCAACTGTAGAACGTGTTCAACTATAGGTTAGATCGTAAACTCGTATCGAAAGCCTGAGGCGCATTCGTTAAATACGTCATATTTTGATTTTTAACCAAATATAAATACCTTAATCGTATAGAATTACTTGTATATTTTATTTTAGTTAATATCAATTTTTTTTCTTATTATTTTTTCTATTATTATTATTGTTGTTATCATTTAATATTAATTTATACAAACCAACCTCGTCTTTGATGGTTAATAAAAAGAAGTCGTGTTGTTATTTACAAATAACGATTAATCATAGAAAAAAAAAATAATGTTGTCAATGTCGATAAAGAAGAAAACATTTTTTATATCAAAAATTGAATTTTAAATTTGAATCAATGAACATACCGTCATTTTATATTTAATTACATATTTCAACGTATTTTTTTTTCACTCCTACAATTCATTATATTTACTCTATCATATTTAAAAATATATATATTCAGAATAAGTTTGATTTATAGTATTATGTATTATGTATATAAGTATTATTTTATAATTTGACTAACGGATATTGACTTATTGATAATTTTCTATAGGTAATAATAATGTACCTGTATCAAATTTAAATTCCAATAGAATTTCAATCTTAATTCCTTACGATAATTATAGTTTAACGTATACACGACAACTTTGAAGTTTAACATAAAATATTTTTCATTTTTAATATATGAAATTAACTGTACAAAAGTATTTTATTTTATACCATAGAAAGATATAGAGTTATATAACAGAATTTTAAGACTTTCATTGTGGTGGAGTTTTTGCCATTACATACGATCTAGCTCGTAGATATAAATTTTTAAACCGTCTGCTTTTTTTTTATTCTATTCAGTACGTACCATGATTATTTTCCTTGTATATTGTATATTTACACCATTTCAAGTGTTATTCATTCCCATCACCTTCTGGTTGAAAAAATATACATATATATATAGGTAGATAGTAGATACATACACATAACACATGGAACGGACGCAAACACGTAGTTTTGCTACAGTGACAGACACACCTTTGAATCAGACACAACCTCTATCTCACTCACTCCTGGGCCGAAGCTACGCCTATCAACCGTTCGGAAATATCTTCTAACGCATTCCATTGTGGAAATTTGCCACATTGTTCAGAACGACATTATAATATTATAATATATGTATGCGATTATATTATATTATGTATATGTAATATACTCAATATAATGTATTGAATATTTCCAAGCGGACGTCACCGTCAATGCTTGTTGGAAGCTCCACCCACCCCATGCAGCCGTGTAAAATAATAATTATAATTATAAAATAATATACATAACAATAATAAACGTTTACAGTGTCTATAATATCGTAGTCAGTCTAGCCTCTAGTGGCTTCTTTTTCTTATAAAACGGTGTGCCATTTTTCGTAATCTGCTAATTTGTTCCAACCATCTGCATCTCCACTGCTATGTCACTGATGCTCCATTGACGTGTACTAACCACGAGTTAACAAATAACCGTATAATGTGAAGTGGAGTGGAGTGCACCGCCTACCATCGAACACCGATCATACATTTTTTCACTTGCATAATATTATACACAATACATATATATCTACGACTTACCTATATGTATATTATTATCACTACACTATCTGCAAATAAAACAACGTTTTATTCATTATTTCACTGTACCTAATATAATATTTTAATAATATTTTTTTGGGGGGTTGATGTAGTATAGTAAATAATAGTATACCTAAGATACTACTGCAGTATTTTTTTTAGGGTTTTTTTTTTAAAGACAGAAAAATAGTCTATCATCATAGGTGCATATAAATAATATTTAGGTGTTTGATGCGCACTTGTAAGACTGCAGATTTTCAAGTATATTATATTTCTCAATCAAAGTATATTTTGTCCTTCATTTTTGTTGCAACATAATTTACGCTGGATTATATTTATTAAAATCTTGTCATTTTTGTTTTACTGATTGAAAATTTTACAATTTTCTTCTCAACTATATACATTGATTATTAACTGTTATTGACGATATATTATGTACCTCTATCTACTTACTGAAAATAACAATTACTATAATAGTTATCGCTTATCATTTTATCATATTAATATTTACTTACTGTATTTATCATTTCATGTTTATTAATGAATAACAATTCCATTTTTTTACTAAAATTTGAGACGTAGGTACCTACCTAAACTAATGACAAAATTAGTGCATATATTGAAATATTAAATGATTTATACTGTTAATAGCTTTATTACATTTTATAGCATGTATATATCCGCTCCATAATCATCAGTTATAATATAAAAATATTAACGTGTAAACATAATATATTGGCTTCCAAATTCCTGAAAAAAAAATTACACTTATAATAAATGTCGTCAATGTTCCTGCTAAATTTTTCGTAGATTCTATAAAAAAAGTTTCATGTGCGTGTCATAAATCAAATCAAATGTAATATCGTAATAACATTCCGTGTACTATATCTTTATGTTTTTACGAGTCTCCTTGGGGCTTGGTCGTATTTTATTGCATTGCAATATCGCTAAACAGTGTTTTGTCGATAATAATAAAAAAACTGTGAACTGGCTTGTATAAAGGTTGTAGATATAGTCATTCTCGTTTATTCTGCAGTCCGTGTCAACCATTCCAGAAGTTTGACTAAGTTGCTATGTTCCCATCCAGGAATCATATGGCTATAATAAACATTGTTTTGACGGTATTGGTACATTATTGTGAATATTAAATTAAAATGTTTATAAAATATAATTCAAATTTTAACTTTTAACTTGACATATTATAGACTTAATTCTGTATACCTATAGACTATAATATATAGTACAATAGCTTACAGTAGGTAAACTCTTGGAACAAAAACAAACAATCATCTGTATTGCTTCTCTGTCCATCATATACTATGTAGGTATTAATGTATTAACCCCTATGGCCATATACAATCCTTCTAATCCGTTCGACTGTTTGTTCAAACTTATTTTATTTAGCAGGTGACATTCATTTGCTCCAATAGGTTTTTGCAAAAATACAATAATATTGAATATTATAATTTAATATTATTAAATACTCGTAAAAAATATAACACCGATAGGCGATAATCTATAAAATTATATCTTTTCTTTATCCTTTTGCACTGCTGAGCCACCTAGCTATTGGAATGCATGTTATACCAACCATTTATTGATAGGACTCCGGATGGAGTAGGATAGTAATATTATATTATAATACTATAATATACATTTTAATACATATTCGGACCATTTGCTAACTGGTTTCATGAGATGTCCATGATGACAATCGTTGGACTTTATCGTTGTGTATAGTGAGTAGTGACGGTATATAATACAAATAGAGTATACACCTATACTATATAAATGCGTTCAAAGTTGTGAATAACATCCCTGTTATGGACTATTGCCACGAAAATAAATAAGATTTATAGTAGTCAATAAATGGAATAAATATAAGCAGCAGTAGACATGTACCACCTATAAATTTCTGTCACTGTATTCAATAATAATTATAGAAAGAAAACATTTATTTTTAAGGACTGTATAGAATAGTGAAATAAAATTGTACTGCAGCAGTAGAAGAAATATAACCTCTAATAACGGAAATTTTAAATTATAATAAAAACATTTTAGAAGTTGGTTACATTTTCAAAAATCTATCATAGTTGTATTCACGTACTCTTGGAATTTTAGTGTTTTCGATGATGGGTAGGCTGTAGGCAAGTATAATAATATTTAAGGACATAAAACATTATACTTCGGATGTATTATTCAATACTTATACCAAATTTATAAAATACGCATCTATTATTTGACTTTTATGGAATTTGTTTTGTAAAAGGATTTAATATTTATTATGTAAACGTGTAAATTAGGTATGTATATACATATAAAGTATACATGAACAGCAGTCATCTCGGCCAGGTAGTAAGCTGATGAATATGGTTAGACATCTAAAATATAATTATTTAATATATCTTAAAATATAAAGTGAACAAGTAGGTATAAGGTTGTAAAACAACCTATTTTAAACATATTTAAAAAAAAAAGTTTTATGTGTGAAAAAAAACGACGGACAGAATGTTGGTCTTATGCACATTCTAATTTTCTTTTTAAATATTATAAATTATAATATATTATAAAACTTCTTACCTAGCTTAAAATTAGATATTAAAATGATTGCTTTTTATTTTCGTACCTAGCTGTAAACATTTCAATTTTTATAATAGCATTACGTATATTATTTTATTCCAAAAAAAAATGGACGCAGACACGCTAACGACTTTAGATTGGCACTGTTTGCACACATGATATGCCGAGTGATATGTTTAATTCTAAAGGGTTTTAGAGTAATTATTAATGAGTGCTACACTCGTCGTGGTCAACGCCTGTTGCGTTTTAAAAGTGTTTCTCTGGCGGTATAACAGAACAAAAAAAATCGACCTCGACGGCTTGACATCATTCGTTTGTAAAAAGACGTTGTCTGGACAATTTTAATAATTACAATTAATTTTATTTTTTCGTTCCTTTGTGTTTATTTTTACATCCATAACACTCGATTGTTCCTAGAAATGTTACACCATTTTTTTAAACCGTTTGTTGAATTTTAGTATATTTACTAAATTATTTTGTGTATTTAATTATCAAATGGTTACCGAGTGTTTTATACTTCAGTGAATAGCATAAACGGAATTTTTCAGTTCAATTAAAAAATTAAACGCACTTTGAGAATGATTTTTAAATAAAAATTGATAGTTAATATGGTTGGTATAGGTACTAAATATAGTTGATAATATTGTTATTATATTGATAATTGAT